AATGTATTGTATGAATTGCCCTTACTATGGAATAAAAAATACAGGTGTCTATTTAGATTTAGTTAAAAGTGGCTGTTATACATTAGACCCAGTGGCACAGATGGATAATTGCTTGCTGTTGCCTTTCTGACGCGATTGATGCGGGTTCGATACCGCCTTTTGCCGAACTTTTTTTCCCTCCCTTTTCAAATCTCGTATCACATCGTAAAGGCATTTATTTTCAATAAAAATTAAGGAAATAATCAAAAAGTTGAAAATAAAGTATCGGGTAGGGTTAGGGCAGGTGCAGGGAGGGCTTTATTGTACCAATAAGGTGGCATCCATTTAATAATTAAAATTATAATTTACACTCAATACGTTATTATTGCATACTGTTTTATAATGTACTACAATACTGAAGCGCAGATAATTGCCACTATTTGCAACTAGTAGTATACTTGATAGTAGAAATCCTGCTATTTTAACATAGTGTAAATAGGTATTTGCACTTATGTGTAAATAACATATTGCTAAAAATACTGCTATTTTCACTTAGTGTAAATATAATTGATTGCTAATACGAGATTTGAAAAGGAAGGGGAAAAAAGTTCGGCAAAAGGGATCGAACCCGCGTCAGTCGATTCAAAAAGCCAACATCAAGCGCTTATCCATCTGCACCACTGGGGCTGATGTATTACTGCCACTTTTAACTAAATGTAAATAGACACCCCGTATTTTTTATTCCATAGTAAGGGCAATTCATACAATACACTTAAACTGAGCTACTTTAATAACATCTCCAAACATTCTACCACGACTCTGCTGTTCTTCGGCTGGTTCTTCTCTGTATACGTTGATTGACAGATGTCTCGTCCAGTCAGTGGTGAGTAATCCCAAACCAATGGTGCTGTCTCAAACTATACCTACCTCTTCCGGTTTGTCTGATTTGTTGTTGTGTTTTCTGACTTGTTATTTTGTTTTCGAATTTGTCGTTGTGTTTTCTGACTTGTTATAATGTTTTCTGAATTGTTGTTGTGCTTTCTGAATTGTTATTTTGTTTTTTAGACTTGCATTTGCGTTTGTAATTTGTTATTTTGTTTTCAGAATTGTGATTTGTTTAGCACTTCTCGGCCACCGTAGTTTGGCGGAGGCGCGCGCGAGCCGAAGCATTGCCAGTCACGTCTAACCGATTCATGATTTATTAGAGATTTCTTATCGAATGGCGAATTCGGAAATAATCGCTTTAATACATAATTACAATTATGTAATAATAATAATAATAATATATATTTTAAAAAAGCAGCGGGCCAAATCGGCTGCTGATGGCGAGTCCGCGCCTGATTTCCACAGAGACACGCAGAACGTGCAGGATTCATATTTTGTCTTTTTGCGGCTTAATATTCACAGACACTATAGTCCATATCGCGTTTTGATTCAAGTGTACTAACCTACTTTTGATTTATTCATCCAAAATGGGGCATATTCCTTGACATTCCGGAGTTCTGTTTTTATGACTGGATTCTACAAACCACTCCGTGTTTTCCGCATCGCAGCCGTATTATATTTTAGAGTAGTCAGTGCAATTTGGGAAAGAAATCAATTAAATCTGAATGTCTCCCCAACACTGGATTTACTACATGGACCTTATACAAGTGGTAGATTTTAATATCAAACTATACAGATTTTTTGTCGTATGCAGTAAACTTCTACAGCATATAAATTGTTCTTGTTTAGATTTGAGAATTTAAATTTGTCCACCATAGTTTATACATTGAATACAATATCCAAACAATCTTGTACAGCTCTTTTTATAATCTAAGGGTGTATTCACACCAGGAAAGTCTGCTAGTTCACTTGCTTTGGTCCGGACCAAATACAGCGTTGTTGTTTTTTTTTGTTTGCTGTGGTTCGCTTTCACACTTCCCTGTTTGCAAGTTATCCACAAATTGTAAACAAAACCACACGTGTGCTAAGGTCATCCATTCATTGGTTCATCCATTCAACCGTACCAGAGTCCGTTTGGAACTGGACCGACACCACCTCTTCAGCTGGGTCTCGATGTGATTGTTTGGTCCACACCCGAGTGTGATTGCTGTATTCACACCTGCCCAAAAGATCCGCATGAGTTCGATTCAATCGAACCAAACAAGACAGGTGTGAATACACCCTAAAATGAAATGTGCTTTTACATAAACTGTGACTTTGCTTCTTTTTGCTGGTTCAGCTGATAATATTTCAAAGTTTGTGACTTTATAAAGGCAAAAAATATGGTTGCTTTTTGTTTTGAAAGACAAACAAATTCTTTTTAGTGTTGTTTTACCTTTAGTAGGGATGTATCTCTAACATCCATACCTAAATCTACACTCATGCAAAGCATTTCAACAGACTTTGACAGACATGTTAACAATATTACCATAGGACACCAATTCTGTGTGGTCTTCAAAAAAGCTGTAGCATTTGTAAATGCATGCAAAGATAGCTAAGGAGAAACAGACTTTTGATAACCTAATGCATGCACTGGCTTTCAGGTGAAGTGGAAACCCCCTGCTTGGTTACAGCTCACTGGCTGTCAGAGCGCAGCTTGAATTCAGGGCGAGGAGTTTTATTTTTGGCATGGAAAAGGGGTAGGTCACCATGTCCTGTTGCTCTGTTCTACTAATATTCCCCCAGACACTCGGAGTTGGACCCTGCAACTGCACACTTAATTGCACAGCAATTCTTGCACAGGTAAAAAAAACAAATGCACAATTTAGCTTTCATGTGGGATCTGTTAGTGGGTGTCTGGTGCATGGCTCTGTGAGAGATATTAGGCCTCGGCTTGCTGTGCTGACTAAAGTATCAAAGTGCCTGCCTTAAAGCCATTGAAAGCTGCTTTTGTCATTTAAAATCTTTGTTTGACATATATAATATTTAACAATCTGTGGCCTTTATGCTCTTTGTATTTGTATATCACAGTGCCTGTACAGTACTGCAGTAATTGATATCCATCTCATATCTGTCTGTTTTTGCAGATCAGCATCATCTCTCTTCTCTAGATTTACCGTAAGTCTCACAAATGCTCTTAACACTATCATTATACCTGGAAGTCAATAATTAAAAAAATATATATTGCAGTTGAATGTATTATAATACCCAATTGCTAACAGTGCAACCTATTATCATGAAGTCTTTTCTCTGTTAAATTGAAGAACAGGGAATTAGAGCCTAAATCAGGCATGTCTCAGGTCTCTGCTTATCTCACACAGGTCTAAGGAAAGCATGGACTCACAAAGACCTTAGAGCAGTTTTATTAATCAGCCTGGGAATTAGGTCACTGAGGTTATATAATGCAATATAGTGAATTATTAAATGGATTCTAATGGATGTATAAAGTAGTGTCATCTTCACATCTATGCTGTTGTGTGAGAACTGAGGCTGGGGTGTTTTATCTTTCCAGTCTTATTGTGGCTGCAGGATGTGCAGTCTTTCAGTGAGCAAAAATAAAATGTAGAGCAGCTCATGATCACATTTCAGTGACACTACAGTCAGATAGGCAATAGAATACATTCAGATACTGCTAAAGCCCAGATACAGAGTGAGTCACAGACTGTATTAATTTGCAAGAATATTAATTTGGTGTATAATTGTCCATTTCAATTTGGTCATTTCTGTCATATTATGCAAGTGTTATGCATGCTTAGAGCAGCTCATGATCACATTTCAGCGACACTACTGCCACACAGGCACTAGAATACATTCAGATACCAAAGTAACCCAGATACAGAGTGAGTCACAGACTGTATTTATTTGCAAGAATATTAATTTGGTGTATAATTGTCCATTTCAATTTGGTCATTTCTGTCATATTATGCAAGTGTTATGCATGCTTATCAATCTAAATTAATAGAGGTGGAAAACCTTACCTCTCTGCAAAATTACTTGTTGTCGTTGTAGTATTTATAAATGCCTGTGTATGTTCTTTAAAAATATGGAACTGAAGAGAAAAGAGTATGGACAAATTGACAGAACATTCAGAGAAAATTGATATGTTTTATTAACTTTTTTTGTGACAAATACACCTTCCACTGCACAGTCACTTGGTGATTGGTTTACATGTGTGGACTGTGTAATGCTACTTAACAGAATGTTATTCACTTATATGGAGAAAATATTCTAGAAAAATCATGAGAGGGAAGAAAAATGACAAAAATGAGAGCAGGATGATGAGAGTTAAAACGTTCAGGATTAAACTAAATTTAATTAAACAAAAAGAGAACTTAAACAGATAAAAATAATTCATTCAACATTTTGACCCCCCAAAAATTAAACATGTACATGTATCTTTCAGTAAATGACTATATAGCACTTTGTGCCACTGGGTTCAGAGATGACAGTTCAGATTATTGTCGGATACCCTCTTCCAGACTACATTCTGTATTTAATACTGACTGGTGTTGTTCCTCCATCTGTACTAAACACTTACTGAATTGAAAAACTCTGACATAATACACATGTAAGTGGAAAAATACATTTGTTTTGAGAAAAATCAACACAGTGGCTCTCCAGTAGCAGGATTGGACACCAATGATTTAAGGTTTGACACATAAATGAGATGTTATAAAAGTAACTGAAAACCCCACTATCATTTTTTCCATTATTAAAACATCACCTTTGTTTCCAAATATTTAACTTGTCACAATGATTTCTGTCAATTGTACTTGATTATATGAGTTTTTAAAGTTTCAAATTGATTTGTTTTCATCAGTTAAGTCATTTAAAGTGTCTGTGGCTTTGGCACCACTTTGATTTTACTTAAAATGTACGGCAGCAATTAAAACAAGTTTTCAATATTAGTGGGTTTAAATTTTGTACAGTGCAATAACTGAAGGACAATGATAACATCAGCATTCCGTCTTCAGACATCTTTGTGATTAGCAGCCAGCTAAATAGAGAGAGAAAACATCATTTTAAAACATTTAGAACAGACATCATAAATCCCATAAAGTGAGACATAAATATACATATAATTACTTATTTAATTAATTTTTATTTATTTTTTTGCAACTTCGAAAAATCATGTTACAGTGTATATGCATAATCCCAATTAATGGAATCCAGTTGTTTGAATTTTTTAATAATGGAGTGAAATTCACAGTTTGTATGGAAAAAGAGAGATCAAGTTTAAATACAAAGTTAGCATTCAGTCTGAACTGAAGTTTTATTTTTAATACTAAGAGAGTGTAATGTGCCATCCAAAAACTATGGGCAGGTACTCGATCATATGAAACCCTTCACAGTCAATAAACAAAAATCGGCACATTGCCACTACTGCTCTCAAAAATGTATAAAATCACAACGTTTCGATCCTAAGGTCTTCGTCAGGCAAAACGACCTTAGCGACCCTAAAACGTTGTGATTTTATACATTTTTGAGAGCAGTAGTGGCAGTGTGCTGATTTTTGTTTATTGACTATTTTTATTTATATTTTTATTTTTATTTTTATTTATACTAGACATCTATTTGTGGCTTGTTTTTAATGCAGGTGTTGAAATGCTGATGGCTTTAAGTTATGGTAGTCAGCCTAATCTGCTTCCACAGCAGTACCCCCCTCCTCTACTGCCAAAACCAGGGCGAGACAATGCCCGTCTGCAGAAACTCCTGAAGAAAAGCACCAAGAAGAAAGTCGGGTCTTCCTCTCAGACACCCATCCCATTCCGATTGAACTTGTCACCAGTCAATGAGGACAGCCCTGACCTGGAGCACAGTGACCACTCCACCCCTCCAAGGACTCCAGAAACCCCTCTCTTCAGCAGGACCCTCAACTCTCAATATCCCTCCAGCAGCCCATTCTACCGTCCCTCCACCTCCCCATACTTATACCCTGCCAACAGCTCACACTACAGCTCTACGCCCACACTATCTGCCCAATCGTACTCTTACCCTGCCCGATCACTGGAGCACCAGATAGCACCTCTATACACATGCTCCTCTATCCTTTTTGACGATGACTCAGAGCAAGCCACAGACGCTGACCCAGATACGTCCTTTGAGATAGCCTTCAGTCAAACGCTTCAGTCCAGTTCCTCAAGAGCAGGGATGACGCATGGCACATTCGGTGAACGACAGACCTATCAAGCCTCAGTTCAAATACAAGCTCCCTCTTTGGCTCCAGTTCGACCTCCCGCTCCAAATTTGACATCGGCTTGTGCGCCGGGTTACCAGACACAACCTTCCATCTCTCAGGTTCCAGTGAGCCAATCCAATGGGGAAGGATATAAAAACGCTGCACCTGCACCCATTACTCACACACCTCTCACACACAATCACGTCATGGAAACAGCTGGGTCACACTTCAAGACTTCCACAATGGAGAAAATAGCTGCTTTTCCACAAACAAGGATTTATACTCCAAAAACCTCCTTTTATGAGATATCAAAGCCACCTATTCAGGACTCCTGGACTTTTCAAGGAGAAGTACCATTTAATGAAAAGAATCCAGTGATAGATGTTAAACAAAATTCAGGGATGCTGTCTGAAGCTCAAACACCTTCTAGTCAGATAAATACATATGTAAGCCCAGTTACAGGGGCAAAAAGACCTGTTTTGGAGGCTTCTGCACATAACCAGCCCTTGTTTGCATTTAACTCTACATTATCCACCACAATGGTCTCTACAGAAAACCAAAAGTGGCCCATACCTCAAAATCACCGGCTCCAGCCTCCCTCATTGACTAGTGTAAAAGCTCAAGGTGCAGCTGTTGATCATGATGATGCCTTGAAAAAAATTGCTGTGGATAAGATAAGGAATTCCATTCCAAATGGTGTTGTGTTCACCACAGGACTCAAACCGTTCATTTCTAATGCCTATTCTGAGGAATGCTTGACACCAAAGATTTCTAAATGTGAAGTTTCCTTATCCAAGACCCTTGCTGAAGCTAGTAAGTCAAGCTCTAGAGCATGTGAGGTGCTTACATCTACAGTTCCGCAGGAGTATCCAATGACTAAAACTGAAACTTCAGAAACCTGTATAATGACACCAGCCAAGGCTGTTCTAACAGATATAAGTCAGGAGACGTCCATTCCTGTACTCTCCCGAAGCTATCAAACACCAAGTACGCCTGTATACTGGTCACCAAGACCACCAGCACGGTTTTTGGGCAACCAGAGGCCATCACAAAATGATACTAACATCCCGAAACGAAAGTCAACATACTACGGGTTGACACCTGCTGAATATATTGCTTATGGTGGAATCAAGGTGAATTCACAAGATGATTCTTCTGTATCTAAAGCTGAAGTACCAGAAGAGTTTAAAAACATGACATGTGAGAATTACATGTCCAAATCTCCAGCTCAAGAAAAGTTCAGCATTATATCTGATTTCAATGCAGAGAAATCCTCAGAGGCTTTACAAACTTCAGTGGCTGAGCTGCCCTCACAAGTCTTGATGACAAACCAAACAGAGGTACAAGTAACTGACAAAACTGAAAAACAAACTATCAATAACTCCACTTCAGAAATACCAGTTCAAATTCTTAAGGAGCAAGAGACAATCCCTGGAGTAAAACCAATGCCTCTAGCTTTAAATCCTGAAGATACAGTGTGCCATGGGCTTCAAACTACACCTTTAAGAATGGCCATAAACCCCACTGCTGTTGCAGAGATTCATAGACAACTAAATTCAGGGTCTACAGACATCACCATCCCTCCTTTTACAGCAGAGGGGAAAAAAATGCCAACTTACCCTTTTCCCCTGGTACAATCAAATATTCCGAACTCAGATATAACCGGATTGCTAAGAAAGAACTTCTTGTCGGTTCAAAATATACCACAGCAAATGGTGCAGTCAGAGAATGCACACAGATCTATATATCCAACAGAAAGTTTTAATCCTGCAACAGTGAAAGCAATGCAATTACAAGTTTCTGCAAATCAAGAACAGAAAACCATATCATGTTTATCCAAGCGTTCTTTAGAAACCTATCAGACTTACTCAGCTGTCTGTGACTCTTCTACTACTATCAATACAGGCAATGAACTTCACAATATCATAAACACCAAAACTGAAGGTTTCAATAAACTCACAACAAACTCAACCAATGTCACAGACTCTAGAATGTCATCTGCAGACACCAGAAGTTACACTAAAGTCCCTCCTGATATTAAACCTACAGCCCTCTCAAAGCCAGAGGAAACTAAATCTGCAGCTCACTCAAAGTTAGGTGCATCTATCTTTACAGCCCCCTCAAAGACAGAAATATCCAGACCTGGAGCCTCATGTATGTCTAATGCAGACAGTCCTGATGTTTTGTCCAAATCAAGCATATTTTATCCTCCAGCTCCTGCTAAAACAGATATATTTAAACCTCCAAGTCACTCTAAACCAGAGGCATCTCAACTTGCAAAAACATCTAATCCTGTAGTTTACTCTAAATCAGAATCAAAGAAAACTGCAGTTTTAATAAACCCACATTCAGCACCTCCCTCATTGAAACCCATTTCTAAAATCAATCAAACCCCTGAAGAAACTAAAGGTCAGCAGATGCAGAAACATGACATCAATGTGCAGTCTATTCCAAGCCTTTCAAACAAAACAAACAGATCATCCAAATTCCCCTCAGAAGCACAGATATTTTCACCTGCACCTAACACTGAAGCCCCAGTAACACACCTGGCAATGGATAAATCTTCTAAACCAGACAACAGCAAAGAAGGAGTAATATCCCTAGGTGCTAATATAAAAGAGCCAAACCCACCTACAGATTTGGCATCAGATTTACAGGACTCCAATAAAACAAACACTGATTCCAAAGCTGCAACTAAAGTTACAGTTGAATCTAAATTAAGCAATTCAACAACACAACAAAGAAATTTTAAAGAAATGATTAAACCATCAAATAACGTACACCAAGCCACCAAATCGAATATGGAAAGTGTGGAGACCAAATCCTTAAAATCTGATACTCAAAAGCCTTTACCGTCTTCAAATATGAAATCTCTTCGAAAAGCTCCAAGTTCAGAAAATAGTCTTGCTGCCATGCTTCTCAGAGCTGCTAAATCTCTACCACTCTCTTCATCTGAAGAAAGCTCTGCAAAATCCCAGACAGAAGCCAAAGCATCTAATTTGGATGTAAAGCCACAACATGCTCAGGATTCAAAAGTTGATCTTGTCACAGATGCTGAAGTGTTGACGTCTGATACCTCAAAACCTCAAAAGTGTTCAAAAGATTCATTAGTAACTAAAAGGCCAAATGAGGCTGTAGCCACTGAAGATGGCAAGTTTAAAGAGACTCTCTCTGAACCCACACCAGATGATCAAAAGAGGCAAAATGATGAAGCTAAGGGTGCTCCGAAACCCAAAGGCCTGAAGGCCAAGCTCAGTGGCTGGACAAGGCTGAAAAAGCACATGGTGGTTGAACCTGAAACCCCCAGTTTTCCAGAGTCTGAGGTAGAGAAAAATGCTCAGAAAGCAGATATAAAAATAAGTGGTAAAGACAAGTCTGGAGGGGCCAAAGAAGAGTCATTGGGTGGACAGGATGTGGTGAAAAAGAAAGATGAGCCCAGGACAACAAAAATGTGGGATGCTGTACTATTTCATATGTTTGCAACAAAGGAGAACATTATGAAGCAGATACATAGCAACAAATCTGAGGATGAGCGGAAAAAAATAGAGAATGATGGTCAGTTAGTCCCATCCTTCGTCCACCGCCTGCCCATCCTTCTCTACAGTCCGCGCTTCGATGCCCGGAAGCTGAAGGAGGCGGCTGCGAAACCTCTAAACAAAATAGCTACAGCCTTTGAAAGAGGGTTGCTGCATCGCAAACAGCAAGGTGAAGAGCAGAAAGACTTCAACAGAACAGCCAAAGGATTCGGTGCATCTACAGGAAAAACAGCAGATGTTTGATTGCATTTCAAATGTTTTAACTACAAATTGATACAATTATGTAGCATTGTAGTACTGTAAATTTATTTAATGAAATCAGCAACAGTGAGAAAAACAAGCTACGCACTGTGTTCTGGTCTGAGCAGTGCAGTAAGGGGCTGGTCAGCAGAAATGGAGGCCTAGTGGATTCCTGCATTGAGAGGGCGACTGATGGGTGCAGCTGTTCGGGATGTGGCGAGTGAGGAAGTGAGCAAGGGCTGAAAACGTAATGGTGAGAATGATCAAACAAGGAAAGTGGCTCAGAGTGTGGCGTGGCATCCGGGGGATGGATGCTGGGTTTAGGTTTGCTTCACGTCAGCTGAGCCGGGTGGTGCGAGCAGACGTGTTTAGAATAGAGAGCTTCAGAATGTGACGTTTTGAGCGGTGTCAAGAGCGCTGCTCAGAATGAGCTATGACATGATGGTGTTGTTGTTCATGTAAAAAAAAAAGGTCTGAGGGAAAAGTGGTAAAGTATAACTAGAACATGTAGGAAAGACATGTAAAAATAAAAAATCTAAATCTCAAGATGTTGATCATGGAATAAGACAAAATGTGACCCTGGACCACAACACCAGTCATAAGGGTCAGTTTCTCGAAATTGAGATTTATACATCATTTGAAAGCTGAATAAATAAGCTTTGCATTGATGTATGGTTTGTTGGGATAGGACAATATTTGGCCGAGATAGAACTATTTGAAAATCTGTAATCTGAGGGTGCAAAAGAAAATCAAAATATTGAGAAAATCGCCTTTAAAGTTATCCAAATGAAGTTCTTAGCAATGCATATTACTAATCAAAAATTAAGTTTTGATATATTTATGGTAGGAACTTTATAAAATATCTTCATGGAACATGATCTTTACTTAATATCCTAATGATTTTTGGCATAAAAGAAAAATCAATCATTTTGACCCATACAATGTTTTTTTGGCTATTGCTACAAATATACCCCAGCGACTTAAGACTGCTTTTGTGGTCCAGGGTCACAAATGTATCATGATCCACTTGTCTTCTAAAAAAAAAATTCAGATGTGTTATTTTTCACTTTTTTTAAGCTTAAAACCAGTGTTGGAAGTTTTCATACATCCATTTCTAGCAAAAATGTTGCAAGTGATTTCATGCTTACAGATTAATTTCTTGTTCAGTGTCACAAACACTGAGCATGATTAGACTGATAGGTGTGACACCAGTTATGTGACATTTACAGAATACTACCCAGGACTGCTGGGGGGGGGGACTCTTTATAAGCTGGTAATTATGGCAGCCCTTGTACTTCAGGGATCTCTGTTGCAAAACCCAACTGACTGCCGTGCCGTGCCCTTTACTCACTCCACATGCACATAGCTCAGAGTAGTTCAACTTTGGCACGGTTCTGAGACCTAATTCTGTGTAGTAGTGCAGAATTGGCTACAAAGATCCTAAATAAACGCAAGTAGAACCAGCACAGAAGTGCATTTGTTATGCACAATAACAGCGAGAAACCACAATAAACAATTTAAACTGTTAATCGTCACACACTGCCCTACCCTGCACACCACACAAGGTACTTTAATATAGCTATATGTATGTGTGTTTGTTTTTGTAGATAAGCAGCAGCTAATGTACAGCACATTATCATATTTTAGTTACTTTGGTATGAATTGGTATGAAGCATGAATTATGTCTGTGTAGTAATGAACATGCGGCGTTTATATTTTGTTATTTTGAATCAAAGATTTTAATAAAGAAAGTACATTTCTTACATGTTCTTCAGTTTGTGTCGTTATTTATGAAGACCTTCTCATATTTCCCGTGCCCACTCTCAACAAATTTGTACCTTTTTCCAGCCAGTTCCTGAAAAGGTAAATGTCAGATTACAGCCTTGTAAAACCTCAAAAAACCAAGTGAAGAGGATTTCAGCAGTACTTAATCAATAGTAGCAGTTTACAGGAGCAAGAGAATGAGCTTGTGCTTAGTGTGAACAGCCAAACTCGAGTGATGATTGCATGTTGTTCACTGGTTGTTTTGAACACAATTAAATCCTAACATAAGTTTAGGGAAACGTTTCTGTAAGGTTTATCATGGTTTAGTGCCATGAGGAGCAGTGCTGGGGGTAATGCATTACAAGTAATGCGAGTTACGTAATCAGATTACTTTTTTCAAGTAACTAGTAAAGTAATGCCAGTTACTTTGTTTTCCCATTTATTGACTGACAAGTCTCCTGTATCTAATCCCATTTTATTAACCAATGTCTTCGCTGCTGACCTTTGATGATTCAGTTCAACCATACTAATATGCAAAAATGACTTTAGATAAACGAACAATTGTGCTTTGTCTTTTTATTGCTGAGTAGTGTTTCTTCTCCTGCGTTCTACTGTACAGACGTGAATTTACTTTTGCTTCAGCCTGAGGTTTATTCATTACACTTTTTGGTGTGAAAGGGCTTTTATATTTGCTATAAATAGAACTTCTTATATTAAAAACAATCAAGCCTTGCTCATATTTAAAAAGTAGCGCGAAAGTAACGCAAAAGTAATATAACGCATTACTTTCCATAAAAAGTAACTAAGTAACATAATTAGTTACTTTTTTTAGGGAGTAACGCACTATTGTTATGCATTACTTTTAAAAGTAACTTTCCCCAACACTGATGAGGAGTCATGATGTACCTTTGCATATGGTTTATCCTGTGATGAGGCATCTCCCAGATTCTCCCACATGGATTTTATGTTACGCACCTCACCAGCCTTAACATCCTGACACTAACACACACAAAGAAAGATAATAAATGGCATAATACTAAAACACACAAATTAAAGATAATTAAAAATAAAATAGCAAAAGATGAATTTTTCATCCAAAAACAAACTGCAGTCTAACAGGTTCGTTTTTTGTCTTTGTTCAGGTCGTAACCACTAGATGGTGGCATTAAACCACAAGCTTGTTTCAGGGATCTCTCCCATCCCATGACTTGCCACAGCATGAACTTTAACCGCACAACCTCTTTTATATTTTCTATTGATTATATCCAGAAAACACATATACTGTAAGCAAGTCCAAAGAGTGAAAGAGTGCTAAGAGGGAGAAACCACTTAAACTCATCCACTCAGCTTTAAAGAATCTATAGAGAAAAAAAAGAGATAGGAATTGATTACCTTCCTGAAAAGGATGAGAAGAACATCAGACACAAGAAAAGTGTAAAGAAGAGAACTAAAGATGAAGAAAAAGAAGATAGAGGATACAATAGATTCATAAGGAAATGTACTATTGGCTGGATTCAGAAACTGTGTGATTGACATTCAGAGACTATATCATATAAACTTACAGCTGCTTTGGAGGAGGAGCTCTTGATGCTGACATCGCTGTTTCCTTTCACCCATTGGTTAATTAGATCTACCACACCCACCTTCATTCCCTCTGTATCCTGAATCAGAGAAATTAGCCATCCTTTATTTATTCATGTACTCACTTACTCACTTTTTAGAGTCACACAAGAATGATTAAGAATGTGCAACATATCTGCAAGCTCATCTTACACAGCAGCCCTGAACAATGCTTATCAGAGGACAGAAGGAGAGAGTTATTTCACAATAAACAAATTGAAATTGTAGCCAACATAGTTTGTGCAATTACAGCTATTTAAATTGAACGTTGAAAGATAATATTGATCATGTTCTATTCTGTAATGTTAATAGAAATCATACACTGTCAGAATAAAAAGGTTGCATTTTATGCATGTAACAGCCTGTCACTGGCAGTCCCTTATGATAATGAACCATCGTTTTACTAAAGTGACCATAGTTCAACTGTAGTATTTATAGATTTGAATCATGTGTAAACAAAAAACATATTTGAACCATGTGTAAACAAAAATATCCTAATAAGTTACAATTAAGGCGTATTGAATGTTAAAATGTGTTTTAAACATAAAGTTAAGTGCTTATCATTACCCATTTTACTCTTAGTAATTTAATAATTTGATAAATTTCATAATTTAAAAGTTTAGTTCAGAAGTATATCGACGTATATTGATATCGACGATACTGCCTTGAAAATATCGGTATCGTATTGAAAACAAAATAAGTGGTATCACCCATCCCTAGGTCTGAGTGAGTAAAGAATCTGGTGATAGTTCACCCAAAAATTAGAATTCTGTCATTATTTGAAGTTTATTTGCAAAAACAGATAACTGTTTTTTTTTTTTTTTAAATCACGATTTTTATTATGTTATGTTTTTATTGTTAGTTAGCTAGTATTTTGAAGTTATTTTTACCTAATCAAAATAACCCAACTGCTGTTTGACTGAGATTAATTGGAATGCACAATGAAAAAACATGATTTTTGAAAATTGTTAAAGTTATCTGTTTTTTCAAATGAACTCTTCATTTATTTATCAATCCAGAACACACACTACTATGACCAGAAATATTACGTTATCTGGGACATGTGAAACACCTGCTTGACTCTGCAATAAAAGCACAGTAACACCTGGTTCCACAATACACACATTTTCCATGGGGCTCTTACATGTTTCCTGACAGTTAGGTGGCAGGAAAACAGAACCGGCTGAAAACAAAAATGTTTGAGCGAGTCAGCATGACTAAGAGAGGAAGTGCCTGGACATGCATGGTGTCTGAAAGCACCACAGCAGTGAGATCAGAGTGATAAACACCAGAGCAGGTGAATGTAAGCACTGGGTGTGGTAATAACAAGAGTGTGTGCAAATAAATCAATGCAAAAGCAGCAGCATGTAGCCGTGCATTTACAGGTTTAACTATGAAACCGACATTATACAAGTGCATATGAAGGCAATTCACCTCAATGGCATGGTTGTACTGCTCCAGTCTGCCATCTAACTTCGAGATGATCGTGGGAGGCTGGGTCTTCTTTATGCTGTTCCTGTTTTCACAAACAGATGAAACATTACCTAAAGCACCACTGTTCTTTCAAGGCACCGACCATCTCAGAACAAGCATGGACATGAAGAGCACCATGACTCATAAAGTAGTTTAAGATAAACAAAGGCTCTGTGAAGCATACTGTTTATACTACATACAAGAATGAACAATGTGGAAAAGAATACCCGGTGATAAATTGGATTCTGAGAAAAAAAACGACTAAACAAATCCTTCATCATTTCATATTTAGTGAATAGGAGAAGGATACATGGGTAGAAACATGTCATGTCATGCCTGCCTGCCTGAAAGGTGAACCATGTTTCAAACAGTTGTTCATTCATGAATGAATCATTCATGTGTGGTGTTTAGATCAAAGAGAAAATACTGATGAACACATGATGTCATACCACAGCACAGAAAAACAACAATTCACCCCTGCTTTTTCTCACATTCAGTACTATGAGGGGGATTTTTTTTTTTTACAATCCTGCAGTAAATCACTTGTGCCCTTTCATCTCAAAGTGTATGTGTTTCCGAAGTTACATACTTTTTTTTAATGGAGCGGTTTAGAGACTCAGTCCTCTCAGTAATCTGTAGATCAAAAGTAAAATAACATTAGTAAATAGATTCAGAGTATTTGTGAATCTTTACAGTACTGAGCATGAAAAAGCTTCAGGCAATATTTTGTGCAATGTTTCCAGGCAACAGGCAAAAAAAAAAAGTGAAATGGAGTGCAACTTCATTGGGTAATGGATGATGATTGCACAAAGTAAAGCCACAGTCTGTCAAAAGTCTGAGTTAATACTGAAGGGCAGTTCAGCCCATTGATGTTGTAAGCAGATTGATTTCATAATTTCACTCGGGGATTTGTATCTGGCTGTTCATATTCTTTGTCGATCCTGTAAATCCTTGTAGCCTGTCGCCCTTTATTTACATTTACATTTACATTTAGTCATTTAGCAGACGCTTTTATCCAAAGCGACTTACAACTGTATTTCATCTACAAAAAGTGTCAAGACCTTTAAAGATTCATTTTTGCCCAACAGGATAGGATGCATTCATTGCCCCCCAAAAAAGTCATCCTGCCACACATGTATGTGTTTATTATTTGTTTGTTAAGAACTGATCTATTGCCTTTAAATATGAAACTATTATTTTTCCTCAAACATACATATCTGGGGCATATTGATGCTGTCAAAAATGTAATTGCTTGAGTTGTACAGTAGCCTATACCAGGATTAGTTTTATCAGAACACCGCAAAAGTAAGATGGAAGGAAATTTGACCATAGACATAAACAGAACAAATGCAAAACAAAGCAAATATAGCCACAGCTTTATAAAGCAAAGGTAAGATGCATAGTAGCAGACATACATCAACGCTCTAACGTACAATTTATGCTGTCATGCACATGCACAAAGTAAGCAACTCACCGAGCTTGTACCTTCTGATTGCCACTCCTCACCCTCAGCCTGAAACCAGCAAGCAACACACATACACACACAAAGCACCTCAGCAATGAAAAGCAGATGCTTCATGTTCTGTCATCTTTCTCCCTCAACCCACACCACCATTGCAAGGAAAAGATTACAACCAAACATAGCACAAGGAAGAAGTCTGAGTCACGCAAACAGCACATGGAAGATACCAGATCCAATCTCAGAGGGAAAATACAACTGGGCACAATGCACAAACACGTTTTGTACAGTATGTCATGTTTTATGTCAGACAGACTGGGGACCTACCATTGTCATTGGCCTTTCTGTGCCACAAGCATCACCAAATGGTAAAGCAAAAAAAAAAAAAAAACACTACACTATGAAATTAACTTTCAAATACATTTCCTGAACATTCAACCCCGACCCAGGGTAAGCCCTGCCCCAATCTCATGCTATTTGTCGAACTGCAGCAGACCATAATGTTTAAGGAGTGGAAGAGGACTTTTTGCAATTTTATTAAGTGAAATAAAGCATTATTTATTCCCTTTATGAATAAGTTTTCCTCATCAAGCTATTTCCTCACTACAATGTATTTTTTTTTAGTTTTATTATCATTGGAGACATTTGTTGATGCATGAACATACAAACAAGACCACCCAGACTCTGCAGAGGTGTTCAATCCTGCTCCTGGACCACCTTCCTGCAGAGTTTAGCTCCAACCTGCCTGACTAGAAGTTTTTAGCAATCCTGAACAAAGAAAGTTAGTTTACTCACAGCTCTATTTGCAACACCATCGAGCTGCTATTACAGACATTTAAGACCAGCTCCTATCTACCTAAATGAGGAAATACTGAAATCTCAAAACAGCTGGCCAAACTCACATTTAAATAATGTATCTTAAATCAAAAAATAAAATCTGACATGAACTGTCCCATAAATATCGTCTTCGATTGGAACCACACCTGCAGTGATGTCATGACTTTACCAATTGGTGATTGGCAGGTGTTACTGATTGGCAGTATCTCATTCATAGTAATATGAGGAAGCCGTCTTGGCATACACACATATGCTTTGTCCTGAAGACCTTGATTTGCTGGTTCAGGTGTGTTTAATAAGAATTGGAGCTAAACCCTGCAGGACACCCTTTACCCGGACTAACACATGCAAAACACACGAATGCACACGTCATTCATTGCAGGTATTGTTCTGCAGCTACAAATTGTGAGTCAGATAATGATGCCTGGTCAAAAGCAATTATAAATGATGAGATGAACTAAAGCATGTTAATGTTAATTTTAAGTATGTGTGGACATATTAGTAATGAATTTTAAATTAATCATTCATTGCAGGTATTGTTCTGCAGCTACAAATTGTGAGTCAGATAATGATGCCTGGTCAAAAGCAATTATAAATGATGAGATGAGATGAACTAAAGCATGTTAATGTTAATTTTAAGTATGTGTGGACATATTAGTAATGAATTTTAAATTATAATGTGATTTTGTGTCTAATGACGATGATGCCATACTTACCATGTAGGAGGGGCTCCTGGGGCTGAGAGGACTGAAGGGCTCCTCTGGATCTCCACTGGATATACTCAACCTCTTCAACTTTTCCATCACATCCCTCCTCTTCCTCTCTCGCTCCTCCTCTCTCATCCTCCTCTGCACCTCCTCATGAGTCTGATCTCCTGTCTCTCTGTGCTGCTGGTCCTCCTCACTGCTCTTCACAAACACCTCCTCAGACACACTAAAGACAACAAGACTAAGAAAGGGCAACAATTCATGAACAAAATATTTTTCCTCACACAAAAATTTTACCTTTCTGGACTGCTGAGAACTGCTGAATCGACTGAAGAGTCCATGTTGCTCTGCATCTTCAGTTCTCTGAGAAATATGAAACAGGCTGAACTCAGGAAGGACATTTGTTCTGAGGAAATTGCGAAACTCACCTGCTTTGTCATGTTATTTATCGACATAACTCTATTGCTGCCCAATCATTGACACATTCTTTTCAAACTGTTCTCCTGCAGTGTGCTAAGGATATTACAGTGTAGGGGTAACTCTTACAATGCTGGAAGTCATATTTCCGCACACAGTATGTCAGGTGTTGATTCATAATCTTTGTCTGATTCATTGTAGGATTCCTCATATTGATTTAATCCAACTCCCGGGTTTGTGAGACTTTTGAGCGATTCGTTCAAAGAATCAAATCAGCAGAGTCATTTGTTGGCAATCGGAGTACCTCTCATGCTTAATATTTCAAGAGGACAGCTCCATTTAAAGATGTGTTTTCTTGCCTTTATTTCACTATACACGGTCTTTTAATATCATCAGAGTTAATTAAAAATGTACATCCACATCTCGGGTAAAATAAGATTTCTTTGTCATGGAGCTTGAGAAACACTGGCATAATCGCCAGTGATTAAAAATTAAGCATTTCTACTGAATCCTTAGTAGAGTTTAAAAATGGAGGTGGAGTTGGGTGGTTGTTGGGTTATTTGCTTAATATTGTGATTGACAGGAATTAGATGAACGAGCTGTCATTTAGAAAGTTAAAATGATTTGAAACATGTAAACTAATTCTCAATCCCTCAACAAGCAATAGTTCTCTACTTCAGATGTCTATTTCCATCCTTACATACATCAGTAAATAATTATAATTATATAAACATAATAACACACTATAACACAAGCATATTCATTTTCTAAGTTACTTAAGTGTAAGGTTGTGTAAGCTTTAAGCGTATAGTTTTTCTTAATTGCTACTGTAGCTATAACTCTATATGCAATATTTTGACTTTTCTTATTGTAACTGCATATATTTTACAAATTACACAAGTTGAGCGTGTAGAAATGTTTGCTTGTCTATGCCTGTACCTGTCATTTGTTCTCCTCCCCTCTTGTCCATTAGTGCTGTATTGTCTCCCATTCTGTTGGAGGAGGACTGTGGAGGTGTAGGAAATCTTCATCTCTGCCTTCTTTTTTCTCTGTGAGCACAACAAATACCGAAGCATATATTAGGCACTTGAAAGACTGGTTTTTAATGCATGACTGGGTTTAAGGGTAAGAAGTATTATTTAAGTTCTATCTTGTTCTTAAATATCATACCTTCTCATCCATGTCACAGCTCTGATTTTGTTTTTTCCGGAAAGATGACTCATGTCCTTTCACCCTTCTTGGATCGTCCTCCTCTGCACACCACCGTCCAGTCTCTCCCTCCTCCTTCTCTGCTGCCTTAATGTTATTCATTCTTTCCTGCTCTCTAGCACCCCAGTCTTCATCATTACCATCCTCATCCAGGTTTTGCTGGTTTGAAAGGGGGGGTCGGGTCTGTATGAATGGGGTGCTGTCATACACATTTATATCATGCAGTTTACTTTGTTGAGCAGAGCTGGAACAGAGCTGGAGCTTTGAGTGACGGGAGCCGTTGAGATGTGATTCTACATCTTTATGTTCCATTTGTCCCTGTTTGCTCCTGCTCAGATGTGTCCAATCACTGAAGCCTTCGTCTTCTTCCAAAGAGGATGGACAGCTTGGAACCAGATCATTCTGACCCCTAACAAACAGTGAAACACTTTCAGAATTGCCTCTCACTGGGATGCCAATATAAGAATAACAAGTCTACTTACAACAGTTGAGTATGTTAATAGAATAGAATAGAATAGGTAACTGTATCAAAAGAATAGGTGTGGTCTTGACACATATACACATACAAACAGATTAACAATCTCACAAAGAAGAAGACAGAGAAAGTTGGCTTGAGCCAGAATCCATGGAAACAAAACAAACACACACACACACACACAATACAGTTTCTTCTATGTATTTGATGAAGACTGTAGTATATTTTAGGTTTTTGAAACAAACTGGTTGTCCAGAGTCTGTGCAGTGCGAGGGCTGTCCTGTGGGGTCATAGGAGGCTCAGTAGAGGAACTGGCTCTTGAACGCCTTCGTCGTTCTCTCTCAATTTCTTCTGCATCCTCCAGACTGCGCTGAACAGTGATCCTGCATAATAACAATTCATATAATACAAACTAGTATTAATCTTCATAATTTCTATGTTCAGGAACAGAATTTTGCTCGCTAAATCACGAATGCTGCATTTGTGCAGACTTGTATACAGTATACTGTAGTGTATATAATCTTACACTGTGATGAAAATCTTCAGGCAGTAATTTGCAACTGATAAAACAATAATGCATCACCACGATTATGATAGCGATAGGGGTCATCTGACAGAAGTTAGGGTCAGAGATGGACAGGAAGTAAGTAAAACATGGACAGGAAGTGCAGGGTTCACAGTGACAGGAAATGGCTCACTGCCATCCTTTACGAGGGCTTACATTACGAGACTCAACAAAACAAATGACACATCTAATTCTGCAGAGAAAAACTTTGACTGATTATTTACAATAATTGTGCAGATGTGGGTGATTACCAGACACTTTTATTCTTCTTTACAGATCAGAAAATATTCCTGCGCTTTCATCAATGAAATCACAAGTTTTAATGGAAGTGTAATATTGGTGTAAGCTTATAGATTATATTACACATGACTTTGGGAACTGATGCACTGTTTGCTAATATTTTCTATAACCTGTCCTAAATGAGCAACAAAGGCATGCATTGTTACTATATATACTGACACCATTTATCTAATGTGCAATCTAAGCACTTTATAACTAGTTGGCAGAACAAGCCAGAAAAGAAAAGAAACAATGACATAGTTTAAAACTACCATTAAAAAATGTGGGCCAGTACAATTTTTTCTTTATTATTATTCAGCAAGAATGCATGAAATTTTATGCATTATACTTTTTATTGTTTTATTGTATTTTTGATCAAATAAATGCCGCTTTGTTAATCATAAGAGACTTCTTTCAAAAACACCAAAAAAAATCTTACTGACCCAACCTGTGATTCCAATTTAGACCCATGTCTGTAAAACAAATCATCAAACAATATTCTGAATGTTCTTCTCCAAGTAAACAGTAAATCTTAATTCCATTATCACATTATGTTACGCTTGGACACATGGAAGAAGAAAAACATATACTTCAGAGTAGTCCAATTCTTTTACCACTCACGCTCTGCTTAAACATTTCAATCTGTTACAAAACATTTGGAGTAAATGAATGTAGCAAGCACTAAAGCAGAGTAGCCTAAATCTATAATATCGATAATAACTGCACCCTTTCCTTTGTTGAACAATCTTAGTGAGAATGGCTGGGTGGTGGAACGGCTCAAATTTTCCGGCAGTTTAGAGGAGCTCCGGGTCCTTAGGGCAGAGTGGGAGGGGGGCAGATCCAACAGATTTAGAGCAAGGGGTGATCTGATGATGTCACCACCCTCAGGAAAATTCCAGTAATAAAAGAAACTATTGAAGCCTGTCACTGCCATTTCATATGATGTCATGAATTGACTCACCATGCGCCGTGTGAACAACAGCCATCTGGGACAGCTTTGGGACAGATTTTACTTTAACTACAGACACATCCAAAGAACAGGCACGTTATAATTTCATGACATCACTCATAACTATATAACAACACAATTATATACCCTCAAAAACTCTGGGACAGTCTGATGATTTGGGTTTCACTATATCCGCATCCATGCATTCTTTGACCATAGAACCACAAAACAAACCACAAGAACTTTAACCCTTCCCCCTAAACACCCTGAAGAACTGATAAACAGCAGAAAGAAGTAATTCTCTGTTTTCCACTCTTGACCCCTCTGTTCTGCCTGATAAATCCATTATTAACTCAGCACCTAATGGTTGTCCGGTGCTACTCAGCATTTTTAGATAACAGTTTATCACTATCAGCACATTAAGAGTTTAAAAGTCATGATTTCGGATGTAAAAGTAAAGATTTATAAAACAGGATTTAATGAACTGCAGCATGATCTATTTAAAGGCAAAGAGACGAGTGTGACTCCATAGACGAAAGAATCTGACCAAGTGGCCACAGACAAACACATTCACACACACACGCAAACAAATCAACAACATCTCACCTCTGGAGTTTCTCTAATCCCTTCTTGCTGGAGTGTCGTCGCAGGATTGAGCTGGACATGTTTTTGTGTTTCACTGAATCTCCTCACTGAAAACCCAGCAGCCTTGCTGTGACTGAAAATGGTATCTGACTGTGTGTTTCTCTCCTTTCCTGTGAGTCCTCTAAAGGGTGTGAATGTGCTCCCCTTCTTTCACTGAGCAGGATTTAGTCAATCTCTCTCTCTCTTTCTGTTCCACTCACTCCCTTCCTCTGTCTCTCTCCATGTGTTTTTCATTCAGAGCTTTGAATCTCTGGCTTCTGTCTTTTCCAGTTCTCTCTTCCAATCAGCAGAAAGCTAACCAGTCATGTGGTGATCCCCTGGGAAAGTTAGATGATACCACACACACATCCAAACCTCAAAACAATAGCATTGCAGGACCACTAATAGTCTTTGTGTTGTCAGGCACTCCATTCAGAACCATTATATCCACATGCATTGTTTACCTGCCTAAAGAATAAACAGGTAGGCTAAGGTAAGTACATAAGTAGAGATAAGCACCTAAGTATCCATTATAATCATTATAATTCAACTAAATTAATCATGGCCTAACTAAAATATTAAAAACATGTGTGGGCGGAAGAAGAAGAAGAAGAATGAAAATAATTATATTAGCCATGGCACAATGGTGAGTTAAAATAATGTGTATAGCTACAAAAGGATGTGCATGTGAAGATGTATAATTATGCCAGCTAAGATGTATACATCACACTTCAGCAGTATCACAGGTGAACGCCTACAGTTTATGTAGCGTTGATAGTTTAATAGTTACTTTAAACACTAAGGATTCAGTATGTTTAACTCTTCAGACTTGTACTGTATACAATACACTTTTTTCTTTTAAGAATATAAAGAATGAAAGACACGAAAAAAAGAAAATATAACAAAACGCAAGCATTTGGAACACTTAATAATACATTTTTTTTTTCAGTGGGAGATTTCATTTAAAGGGGTCATATGATGCAATTTCAAGTTTTCCTTTCTCTTTGGAGTGTTACAAGCTCTTGGTGCATAAAGAAGATCTGTAAAGTTGCATAGACTAAAGTCTCAAATCCAAAGAGATATTCTTTATAAAAGTTAACCAAAAAGTCAACCATACCTACCTAAAATGGTTTGTTCTAACACTTCCCCACATGTCTACGTCACTATGTGGGAAGATTTGCATAACGCCGCCCAAATGTTCACGCAAAGAAAGAAGGCGTAACTTTTATTCTCGCTGTAGTATTGTTGCTGCCGCCATGTCATGAAGGTGCTGTGTGTTTCGTTGTGAAAGCGAAACTACTTTGTTTGGTCTTCCAAAAGAGGACGATATCCACTTCGTTATAGAGCTTATCCGTGCTGGTCGCTGAGGAAATACATCAACTTCGCGCTGTGGATCGCCGGATCGGCTTTCACCGTGGACGAAGTAGTGTTGGGTCGTTCTTGAACGAGTCGTTCATTTTGAACGAATCTTTAATGTGACTCAGGAAGAACGAGTCGTCTCGGGGAGGGATTCCTTCAGTCGCGCATGCGCAACATCCTATAGGTTCTGTACAGGAATTAGTCAAGTAGTTCACCTGGTTCGAGTCTTCGGGTTTTTCCGAGTCGTTCGTTCATCACGTGACAGCCCCATGTTTTTAAACCCGAAGACTTGTCAGATAAGAGGTGAGGTGAGCTAATCATAGACTGAAGACCCAGTTAACAACGAATTAATCTTTTCTGTTTCTTATAGCAGTTTTGTATTGTTTGTAGTGTGATCAGCGTTTGTGTAAGTAGTAGACATATTAGGGAAGTAACACGTAACATTTTATATTTTGCTAAAATTAACGAAATTAACGAAATGACTCAAAAAAAGATTTGTTCATTTTGCTGAACGAGACTCAATGGTCCGAGTCAGTAAAATGATCCGAACTTCCCATCACTAGGACGAAGTGGAGTCCAGCCCGGGGTCGTCACATGTGGTTGCCGCAAGCCCGCCGACCGCGCCGTTCTCAAGCCCGCCCGCCTCCGATCATTCCAGCCACCGGCCTCCACTCACTCAAGGCCGCCGTGTGTGACGCTGTGGTTCGTTGTGAAAGCGAAACTACTTTGTTTGGCCTTCCAAAAATGGACACGACTAGAAATCAGTGGTTAAGTTGTATTTACAACACTGTTCCAGAACAGTTCAACCCAAATATTCAGATGTGTGCAGTACATTTTATGGAGGACTGTTTCCTGATCCTGGGAGAGTAGACTACAATGCCGGCTGTTCTGACACACAGACTGTAAGTACGTTTTCATATTTAAAGGATTTGCCACTGACGATTCAAACACGAGTTTTGAGCAGTGTAGAGTAGCGCTTGTTGTTTGTCATTTCTCCGATCACAAATGCAGACATGGTTTTATGTTTACGATGCGCGATGCAACGCAACGTGTAAAAAGACAGTATAAGTCATTATAATCCATAATTATGTCCCCACTGGATGCAACAAATGCCTCGTTTATAATGG